ATCAGCCAACAATAATGAAGTAAAACTAAATCAAAGAGGTGCATAGAAGAGGGTTTACTGGCTAATGAAGGTCATAGCAGGCATCATCTGGTTTCTGCTGTTATACAGGACTTTACATTTGAAATTTTAAAACTGAGGACAATTTCACCTACATAGTGTAAATAGATCTGTGTGTTTGAATGTATGATAGTTTAACCCAATTTCATTACTGTTTCAAGGTGGTCAGTCTGGCTCGCCATCTGATCTATTTTGGCTTCTACAGCTTCAGTGAACTTCTACGGCTGACACGGACTCTTCTAGGGATCATTGACTGTGTCCAGAACCCACAAGCGATGTTGTTTGCATGCTATGTACAATGATGATACAGCAGGTAAGAAAGAAAAATGAACAATGATCATAGAACTTCAAAGTAAGTTCTTATATCCTTGCACTGCATGCTAATATCCATATAATGCATAGGATTTGGCTGCTTATGCATGCAGAGTCTGCAACTACATTATACAGGAATGGGATCTTTTATGGTATGTAGAATTCCTAAGAATTTTGGATAAGATTTAATTTCAGAATTTGGAAATTATGACTAAAATATATTATAATGTTCAGATTTTAAAAGTCTTTAAAGACTTTTTTTTTTTATAACAGTACATTTTGAAGTGAGAAAATGTTGCGTACACCAACCATGTTGCAAATTCTTTTCACAGCAATGTTTATGTCCGGGGGGGATAAGATTTACACTTGTACTGGGTTTCCCTCCCCACTGCAAGGATTAACTGTTCATTTTGGAAAATGAATAAGGTGATATATTCCTGCAGGCATCTTCCTCTCCATGTGATTGGTCCCCCATAGCTTCTTCTCTTTGCTGCCTGACTGGTCACAGTTGTTTGTACTAAAATAGGGGGACGCCGATGGGCAGCGCACTTTCCAGAGTGTAGTCTGTTGAGGGAACGAGGAAAAGGTAAGTTGGAGGTATGTTGGAGGAAAAATTAGCTAATGGACTTTTTAGGTACATAGACTCAGTAGACTCAGTAGACAAGAAGTAAAAACACAATTGCTTTATTAACATGTCACATCTAAAAACATATCTTGTATAAGTGTTAAAATTGCATTGCACACTGACATACAGCCTGTCTCCCTCCACCATCCAACCATAACAGACTGATTTTCAGAGAGGTTGAATAAAGATGGTGGATACAGTATATTTCTTTAGCTGTGTAGAAAACAAGTTTCGCGACTGGCGTTGCTTCTTCAGGGGCTAGTAACGCATCTAAAAATAATAAACAGACTTAACCAATAAACATGTATAGAAAAGCAAACAACAGTACAGCATAGGTACGGCCCAAAGGCACTTACGTGGTTAGGCAGTGTGTATTGTTGTGTAATAAAGGACTCCCCAGTGGTGCTGGAAACCTCCCAGGCAACCAGAGGATGATGGATCCCACTGTCAGGTGTGGGGGAGCATCAGTCAGGCAATAGGCCAACAGAAAAACCCAAGGACAACACAAGCACTCCGCAGATACAAAAAGGTATCTGAGGTGTCAGTAGGTAGTCGACAACGTCAGCAAAATAATCCAACTAAAAGCGGATTAATGATGTAGAGCAGAATAGGCCTAAAAAAGACCACAATGTAAATATAATTACTAATATCCAATTCATCTTGTGTTACATCATAAGCTGAGACACTCAAAAAACAAGTTACCTCTAAGTTTCAAGCCATATATCAAACGTATAGATTTGAGGGGCACATACACACAGTCCCTTGCTGTAAAACAGAGAGCTGGACAGCCTTTAATTCATCCACAGTGAATGAGCTCCAATATGGGGCATAAACACCAACAGGACTACAAAATGAAAACAAAGACAAAAAGTGTCCCTATTAGTATAACTCCCCTCTTGATTTGCACCCCCCAATAGGCCTATATTAGTCATAATTGGAGAAGTCCCAAGGGAAGTATTGGTGAAGTCCCAAGGGATAGTCTGCCGACCCACACCGCTTACATACGCTCCAACTGGGCACCTCAACGCCAGCCGTCGTGTGACGTAATCCCAGCCTGGCCACACCGGTGCGACCAAGGCGCCACAGTGCTCCTCCAACCGCGGACGACCAGCCCGGGGCAAACCAACAACCCCCAGGACCAATGGGAACACACAGGGGGCAGGGGCAGCCAACCCCAGGGAAGCAGCCACAGCCTACCAACCACACACCCGACTGCGCAATAAGGCCCGCCGCCATGATGACCGGGAAGCGCTCCGGCCACAACAGGGGAGTCCAAAACCACAACAATGCCCACATTACATAATGTACAAAAGCGTTCCCAATGATAGAGAAAACAGTTCCATATATACATATCACAAAATGGCCACAGAATAATCCACGGACATTGCAAGACACACGGGTTCATTAGTAATGCATCTCTAAGGTCATGAAGATGAAAGAAATAAAACAACAACAATCACCAAACCCCAAACAACAATTCATACATACAATAATGGCAAATAACTAGTATCAATAATTATAATGCATAAAAATGAGCAGAGCCTATATTGGTTACTGTGTATAGATTCATTTTGGAAATTAGACTGTTATGGTTGGTTGGTGGGGGAAGACAGGCTGTATGTTTTTAAATGTGACATGTTAATAAATCAATTTTGTTTTTTTACTTCTTGTCTACTGAGTCTACTGAGTCTATGTGCCTAAAAAGGCCATTAGCTAATTTTTCCTCCAACATTGTTCTATTGGGACATGGCACTATGCTATTTTCTGGGGTGTGACCTCCTACTACCCGATGGTCACCCCATTTTTTCTTTTTCCAATATAGAAAAGGTAAGTATACCACTTTAATGATCAATCCCTAAGTAAATGAGCATTACTCATTATACTGCAAGAGTAAATCTTTTTTTCCCCCCAGACTTCAGCTTTACTCACTTTTGACCTTGCTTGTGTCCCAAATTAAGAGGGCCTCAGACATAAACCAAGAGGGCTGCTAAATGGACAACAATACATTTATCTTCATTACACTGTTTACTGATGACATTATGGAATTACAGATCCCATAACTGTATTAGTTAGTGATGAACAAATATGGCAAATCAGCGAAAAATTGGTAATTGTTTGATTCTCCTGAGCTTTTCTAGGCAGCTTTTTCAAGCCAACAGAGAATCATACAGTTCATAATGGACAGCCTAGATTCCTGAACAGTGTGATTTTCTTGAGAGCAGAGAGATCTATTCTCATATACCGTATGTAGGAGAATCAAAAACTGATGTACGGTTGAAATACTGATGAATCAGCAGTTCTCCTAATTCAGCCATCACTAATACTAACCTAATAATGCCTTATTCAAGTGTAATATGGTATAGTAAAACAAAGTTGGCAAATATAAAGATAAATATATGTATGTGCATTTCAAAAAGTTGTTTGCTTACTTTCAGTAAACCTACAAGCTGCTGTGATTTTTGTTTTCCTGATTATTAGAAGTTGCAGAGCTTCTGTGTTGTGTGCCCATCCTGCATGTGCAGTACAATCGCTCAAGCTGCTCAGATGTCATTGTAACCTCTTGAAGAAGATTTTGAAGATATGTGCTGCAACCTGCTGCTGTGATGCTTCCATGTATTGTGTGCGGCAAATCTTGCATGTAATCGAAAGACTGTGTGTGCTGCTCACCAATCGCTGCTGCCAAGTAAAGAAGACTCGTGTGCAGTTCACTGCTGTGATTGTAGCATTATCTAGCCAGCTAATTTTTGGCATTATCCAACTAGCTTGCTTGCATATATGCTATGCATCCTGCATGATTAATTTTACTGCAAGAGCTCCCAACACTGAGGCAACACATGGATCTCGTAAGCTGGCCATACATAGAACATTTTGGTAAAACAATCACAAATTATTTTTATTAATTTTTTTTTATTTTATGTAGCTGACACACACAGTGTGAGCAATCAGCAACGTAAAAATGTAGTAATCTGTAAACAAGTTGATTTTTCCAGGTCATATTTTTGCAGACTTTCAGGGAGTTGCAGTTGTGTTTATTAAAAGTTGTGGGAATGAATGGGTAAACAAGTAACTCCCTGGCATTAAAGAGATACAAATTGATGGACTAATTCTGTGTACATAACACCACAGGAATTACATCTTGATTTTTCCTGTATGCTAGATCATATCTGTAGTGTTTTCTGCCTTTTACCATCTTTTGTTGAGGTGCCACCCTCCTAAATTTGACAGTCATAAATGATTTATTGATCTTTAAAGAACATTGTATTTGAATATCACATCCATCAAAATTAAAAAGGGTTTATTACATACCTTAAAACATTGACAAACGGTGCATCCTGGCTTAAGCACTGATATACTCTAAGATGATAGAGCCATTTATTTATGTATATTTTACCTATGATCAGTGTAGGTATGGAAACCGGAGTTCCTGTGGATTATTAATTGTAAGCAACTAAAAAAAGCCACTGGAATATATTAAAGTACAGATTGGCCTTAGATTGTTTTTGTGACATGTTAACATTGCAGGGCCAGTTAGTGTGACGTTTTGCTGCTCTGGGATCAAAAATGCTAGGTGTATAAGCCAGGGGGGAAAACTGCTGCACATAAAAGTTTGTGCACTGTGCATTCCTGATGCCTACTTTTAAGAGGGTGTTGTTAATTCTGTTGAAATGGAAGGGATTGCCAGACTAGAGACAGTACTTGCAAGAGGTCACATCTACAAAACCCTTCATAGACAAAAATTAGGCAGTCATAGGAGTGAAACAATCAAAGCATCTCTGAAAATGTAAGGAGGTAATAAACATTCCTAGTTATTCCCTTCTGAGTCTGTGAAAAGAACTGGAAAACAGTGGAGCAGAGAAAACTTTATTAAACAAGGATGTAATTGTTACTCAAATGGAAGTTTGTAACAAACAAAAAGTCTCTGTGCATGGCCACCTACGAATCCAGCTAGTAGGTTTGTGGATCATATTAACATGTGTTGGTTTTACAGAAAAAAAATGTCAGGCGATCTATACAAGGAGTGGGGCAGATGATGTCCACAATGGTTTTGACTCGGAAGCAATCTATGTTCAATTCCTCTTCACCTGTGAATTCTGTAGTGAGTCAGGACAACTCTAAGAGGAAGAGTGTGGATACGGAAAATGTCACCGTCATGGAAACCAAGCTGAAAATCCTGGAGATCCTGCAGGTTAGTATGTTGTGCTTATCTGATATTAACTGACATTTGGCTGCTGGATTGTGAGGTGTACATTACATTTTAAACACAAATAAAAGGAAGTATTCAGACTTAGTAAATATACCTATTAAAGTCAGGTTTTGGCAGCTCACAGGCAAAATGTAATCACTCCAGAGCTACAGACAGCATTATGGGCCTTACCTAGTTTGGTAGAACACTAATGTGCAGCAGTCCATAAACCTGTGCAAATATGTTTAGAAGAAAAAAAAGGGGTGCTGTTGCACTTAGGAAAAAAAATAATTAACATATATGTGAAAGAATTAACTATATATATGATAGCTATATAGCAGCAGTCCTAAATGTGATTTTTTTAAACACAAAATCTTATATATTTCAAAACTGGACCGCGCTAAGGTCACAAATTGACAAAATAAACTGTGCAATCTTTAAAGTGATAACACTAAGTAAAATACAAATAAAATATTAATACTCAGTCCCAACATGTGAATAACTTTCCACTAGATCTGCATCAATGTTAGGCAACTCCTCTCCTCCACAGGCAGTATTTCATATTTTCAGCATAAATCAAAACAAAACCAGACATCCCATAGTGTAAAACTGTATAAAACTTTAATATGGGGGCAAACAATAAAAATGCCACTCACTAAAAAAGTACCTTTCCTGGCACTAGGTGTATTCAGCTTTGTATATTATCAATGGGAATTAAGATGGCCGCCGCATTCCAGCGTGTGTTCCAAATACTGGAAGTGACGTCAGTGGAAGTTGTGTCATAAGCCCTCGACTAGTTTCGACCAATAGATCGTCTTCAGGTACTTCCTTCCATTCATAATATACAAAGCTGAATACACCTAGTGCCAGGAAAGGCACTTTTTTGTGAGTGGCATTTCTATTGTTTGACCCCATATTAAAGTTTTATACAGTTTTACACTATGGGATGTGTGGTTTTGTTTTTATTTATGCTGAAAATATGAAATACTGCCTGTGGAGGAGAGGAGTTGCCTAACATTGATGCAGATCTAGTGGAAAGTTATTGGTTACTACCAGCAATCATGTTATAAGGAATATCGCCCATCAGGACCGGATTGCAAACTATGATAGTAACAAAAAGCGAATGTGACTTATCTAGAGATAGGTGGTCATGAAATGACGGTGAGTTTACATCTATGTGGGGCACCAGTGTGAACCCAGTGAAGCACTTGTCATTTCAGTATGGAGTATCACCGTTAAAGATACAGCACCGTTGCACCAATTATTCACATGTTTGGACTGAATATTAATATTTTATTTGTATTTTGCTCAGTGTTATCACTTTAAAGATTGCACAGTTTATTTTGTCAATTTGTGACCTTAGCGCGGTCCAATTTTGAAATATATAAGTCCATAAACCTGGTTGGAATTTAAATTTTAATAGCTTAGCACAAGTACATGTTAGCTACACAAATACTATTCAGAATGACTGAATTGATGGAAATCAATATATACCAGACATGGGAGGCATTATGTCACAGAAACAAAGAGTGAGCAATTAAAGGAGAATGTACATTATGATGCCACCCACATTTATGCAGTCTGTATAATCACCTTGTTCACTTTTCAGTCATACAAAAACTATGGAAACTATTCATAAAGAATCTACATTAAAAGGTTCAAAGATTTAGACACACACACACACCTACTTAAAAATTGAAATTCTGTCACTTTTTAAGTGGTTTCATCAGAATTATTTATTTATTTATTGATTTGCATTCTATATTTATAAGGTTTTTGTCTATACAAAGTAAATAAAGGGAAACAAATATAACAATCCATTGCATAGCTGCTTAGGTCTAACAGAGGGCAAATTACAATACTAATCTGACAAAAAATTTTTACAAAAATGCATATGGAATGATTAAAAAGCAAAACAAAGAACAGGTCAGGTCTAATAATAGTAATAATAGAATGGTAAATAGCAATCAAGGAGGTCCTGGGGCCCTTAGTAAAAGGATGTAGTGTATTTACAGCCTTCATAAGAGGAGAGATCTTGTATGTAAGGGGACCCAGCTATGCTATGCAATGGTCAGAGCCAATATAATCTGGATGTAGATAAATGGAACTCAAAGAAGACGTCTACATTAAGGACTAAGTGATATCCCCTGGTGAAGTGTATAAAGAGTAGTTGGGGTCAGCATAGAAGATAATAGGAAAGGGAAGAAGGAAAATAAGGGTGAGAGGGGGGAATGGGGGAGATGCACCCGGTGGAGGGACATACTCTTGGAGTAAGGAAAGAGAGATCCTCAGTGATCTTGGTGGAAATGATAAAGGAGAAGGACTTGCGGTGTCTCACAAGCCACTCAGATCATTGCCTCAACTAACCAACCAATTACAGTCATTTGAATTTGTCAGTGCATGTAAATTCTATCCAATAAAACCATGTGTTTTTGAATTTGGTGTGTGCAACTTTTAATGAGCTGATAAGACTCTCTATTTCCCTAGTATCTTCAACCTTTCTAATCCACTATTGGACTGTATGAAGTTGAGGGGATTTCATCAGTTTTATAAAGAGCCATGTCTTTTCCACTAATATATCAAAACAAATTCCATTTCCCCTCTCCAAATTAATGGCACTATTTTTAGTATGAATCATAGTGAAGAATGCATAGGAACAAGATGCCATATCATTTCACCATTTTGTCTTTTAGACAACCATCAATTACCTATTAGTGATTACTCCTGTTAATACCATAAAACTATATATGATGAACAAGGATACTTAATGGACCTACTATGAATGCAGGGTGTCTTGGTCTTACCCATTAAGGCAGTGTCACCATAGCAGCTTTCATTCATAGTGTATTAAAGCAGAGAGGGTTTCTGATGTCATCATGGCAGTGCTACTCTCAATGTTAGCAGAGAACTACCAAGTGCTGGAGAAGATGCAAAAAGGAAGAAGACCCAGCACATGGTGTGACTGGCCTCAAGACATCCAAAAAGGTAAAAATAGCAAAAATAAAGCAGAATATTCTGTTTGAAGGTCCTCTCGGTTTGTAGGAGACAGGGCATTTGGGGGCACAGACTGAGCCGGATTTGATCTTTGAGTGATATTTGGTCTCTTAAGGCCTGTTTTGCATTTTTATTGACAGTTCATCCTGAATGTAAGATTGGATTACAGGATATCGTATCTGCTCTCCGTTTTCAAGAAGGAATTTGTGGACGTTTTCCCCATGCAAGATAGTGCAGTAGCGGATGGGACAGCACCAGCCTTTGAGAACACAAGTAATCACATACAATTATTAATGATACACGTATAATAGTCATTGTAATAATAGTCATTGTAAACCTAACTATATGAAATATACTGCTTTGAATACATGGCAACAGATGATCTTAGCAATGCTGTAATGCTGTAGCTAGTGTCTTGGCTGCATGAGAAGAAATTTCAGATAATAAAATTAAATTAGACATACATTTATTTTTAACACACGTGAGACTTTACACTTTATAGGTATCTGTATTTTCGGCCATGAGACTGTAATTTTCAGATGTCATTAAACATAACTGAAATAACTGTCAGTTTTAACCTTTGTGAACTGAGCCTATAGTATAATAAACAAACATTGGACTGTCACTGGAATTCATAAAAAGTGCCATAGACACTCTTTAGAACTCATGTTTCAATACTGCAATTTTTAGTGCTTGCGACAGGTTTATGTACCTGTCAGAGACAGGTGCATGATCCTGTCACTTGGAGGCCATACTGGTCACTTCTTTCTCAGCGCAGCTAGTAACACAGAGCTCACTACCTGGCGCCACTGCACCTGTCACACAGACAGGTGCATAGCCGAGGGGTTTCTTTTAAGGTGGGCAGAGCCTGATGGGGAACTCTGAGAGATGAGTAGACAGCAGTGGGTGGATTCCATGGCCGCTATTCAGACCAATAACAGCTATGAAATCTGTCCACTGTCATCCACTGTCAATTACAAGGAAGGCGGACCTGATGGGAAACTAGTATGTCAGGATTCCCTTCAGTCTCTGCCCACTATCAATGTTCAGGCTATATCATTGGTTAATAGGACTCCCGCAGTAAAAATAAAAAACTCATTAATAAAAATACACAACTCCCCTTCCATCCGAATATGGCCTGTCTGTAGTTAGTGCTAATTGATTTCAGTTTCATTATCTATGAGCCAAAGACGATTTTTAAAACAAAATTGTTCCAACCAGTTTAATGAAACTGTTTCAATGCATTTATTCATTTGGTGCAGAACATTTTAAAGTGGTTTTAAAGGCTCAAGGTTTTTTTTTTACCTTCATGCATTCTATGCTTGAAGGTAAAAAAACCTTCTCTGCACCACAGCTCCCCTAATACGTAGCCCCATTGCAATCCAGCGATGTTCATGAGAGCTTTGGCTCTCCTGGGATTCTCCCTCCTCATTGACTGAGACAGCATCAGGAGCCATTGGCTCCCATTGCTGTCAATCACAGCCAGTGAACCAAAGAGAGAGGGGTGGGGCCAAGCCACAGCTCTGTGTGCGAATAGATACGCAGAGCAGCGGCTCGGGAGTAAGCTTGCTTCGATGCCCCCATAGCAAACTTCTTGCTGTGGGGGCATTTGGCAGGAGGGAGGAATAACATGTCTGTTATTTAGGAGAAATGCTTTTAATATCACTTTAAAATAACCATACTGCCACAATAGTGTCGCAATTGCTTTATTCTCCCTATGTGTTTTGTATTATATTGGTACCCATTTCTATATCTGAATGACATGATGTAAATATTTCAGGTCATGTTGTTTGCATTGTGCTTGAAACATCCACATGGTGTAAAAGCTGGAACCACAAACTGTGATTGATTAGTAAATATTCTAAAGTATCTCATGTGTTGACCTATAACACAATACTGTAGACCAGGGTTTCTTAACCAGGGTTCCTCCAGAGGTTGCTGGGGTATCCTTGAGCAATGAGCAATTTGTGCCTCAGATAAATTCCCACTGGCACCATTGATCTTTTAGCTATTCTTCCCAATTATCACAAATGTAAGTAGCATTCTTCCCACTAACACACTAATGTGTCATGAGTTGTAGATATAATAATTTTTTAGCAGGCTTCCCTGAAACCAGATAGTTATTTCAAGGGTCCTCCTCCAAGTTGAAAATGTTGAGAAAGGCTGGTCAGTATAAAAAGTACATTTGCATCTTGGATTTACCTGACGTATGTCACTTTTTAGTACAGGTTGAATGAATCAGTGGGTATAATACCAGCATACTGCCTAGAAGATTCTAAAAATCATACTTTGTCCCCATCTTTTTTTAGTCAGACAGTTTTATTGTATTCACAGAGTTTTACGGTACATAGAAACAACAAATCATAACATTCCCCCCACCCACACTCTCTAGTGTACTGTAACAAAGGAATTAGTTCAAGAAAAAAATACAAGGCTCCACATGTGCGCATAGTTACACCTAGTTTTTAATCGGGATCCAATTTCCAATGCAATTCTTGCTTCAATTTTAGAGGAATGACAACATTTAAAGTGATGCTTTTAGCATATGAATTCAACACTTTTTATACTGTATATCCCTTATGTAAACTAATTATAACATCCAAATGTACTTTGTAACAGTCTATACTGCGCTGTCATTACCAGTTTGATGTCAGTAGACAGACGCAAATATCTGAAGATGTTACTGTAATATTGGTAATTTATATACAGGTAAATGTATATTTATTTATTCCTGAACATTTAATAAATCTGTCCTTGTTTATACAGATGCCACCTTAAATCTAGAGCGTATTTCAGAACAAGCAGAAGCTATGTTTGGAGTGGGGTAAGTAAATATGGCTGCTTATTTGGGGTCCAATAATCACTGCTTCTGTATGCATTGGGGTTGATTTACTAAAGGTATTTAATATAGCTATGTATATGTTCCCATAGCATACTAACTAAGGTGAAACAGTTTGGCATAATACAAAGAGAAAACTGCACACCGATGATGTCTTAATGGGCAAAACTTTATTCAGCTTCAGGACATAGTCTCGCCCCCAGGACCACCTCGCTAACATGTTTCATTCAGTGGGCTTAATAATTCCTGTACGAAACATATAAAAGGTCCTGGGGGCGGGCCCATATGTTTAATTTTGGCTGATTAAAGTTTTACCTGTGAAGGTATCAATGGACTGCGACTTTACATTTGAATTATACCAGGCTATGTCTGTAGGAGTGACATACTCTTCAGCTGCAACTGATTCAAACATATAAGGAAGCACGTGAAGGGTTGGGGTGGTATACTTTTCTTTGACTCTACAATCTGTAACGTGAAAATTTATTCACTTTGAAAAAGCAAGGGAAATTAAAAAAAAAAACAAGGCTTTTGCTTGCACACGATTGGATAATATTAATTTATCAGAAGTGAATATGTTTGCTCATGAGAAGTTATCCTGCTCATACACAGCTCATATGCTTCAAATAATCACATTAAAGGACACTTCCGGCAGTCTGTGCAGTCCCTTTCTGATCTGAAAAGGCAGAGAACATAATACTGTAGCCTGTCATCAGCTGCACAGCAAATATAAATGCAGAGTAAGCTGTTTCAGATCTGCTTAATCATAGGAATTGCTGACATTCACATTTATAACTGTTATTATTATAAAACGTAAGTTGTTTTTTTAGGATTGATGGACCAATAAATGTATTCTTCCCTGCAGGAAGAATACTATTCTGGAAGTTGATGACGAGGGTGGTAGGATGTTTCTGCGTGTCCTCATACATCTGACAATGAATGACTACCCAGCCCTCATCTCTGGGTCTTTACAACTTCTTTTTAAACATTTTAGCCAAAGACAAGAAGTGCTGCATACATTCAAACAGGTACCTCTGGAAGTGTGTTGGAAGTAAAAGCGTTGATCTGTTTGAAAGACGTTGTGCAATACAGCAGTCATTTATATAACTATGAACGTTTTTAAATTAATTAAATTCATAGTGACCAGAAGTCAAACATGGTATGTGATGGCCTGGACTTTGGAAATCAAACTAATATTCATTAAAGCTATCCTTACTTCTGCACTTCTGTTTTACAACCTAAATTTAATCCCCTAAACTAGTGTAATGAATGATATATAAACACAATGGTTTTTAATATTCACACATGCATATTGTTGCATGTCATAAAGTTAATTTTTTTCAAGTCTTGTTTCAAATTACTGTGACATGCATTCTGTGTGTAGGCACCCATTCATTTCAACAGGCTTCTCTACCCACAGAAATGAGTGGAAAGAAGTCCCCAACCCTTTTTTTAATCATGCTGCACCAAGTCGCATGGTACTGCGTCACTATGTGGTCTGGGACAAGAAAAAAACGCTCCACAGTTGTCAATTCATGGGGCTGCTATTAACAATTAATGGCACCCCCGGGCGTCTGCAATTTTGCAAGCGTTCCCCACTTGCAGATATGTGAGCCTAGCCATAGAACAAAAAGATCAGTTATAAATGTGTTGCACAGTGTATGGACATTGCACCCCCATACCCTTAATCATGTGTCATAAAACAAACATGTAAATGGAAAACAATTTGCTATGTGAATAAAACTGTAAATAACATCTATATCAATATAATTAAATGTCAATGTTTATCACATCTTTAGACAAGTATAAGGTGTCATCCAACAGCAATAAATGAACTTTATCTTCCTAAAGCGAGACCACTTTTTCATATAACTTTCAGTGTTCATCCCACAAATTATGGTGTCTTCCACTAGTAACCCCAGGACAGATGCTCATCACAGGAATATGGTCAATAATATATTAGGAGTAAAAATGCATGTGTTGTCAAATATACATGCACAGGTATATTGCTGTTATCTTCTGCACATTATGCATTTGTTTTATGAAACAGGATTACTATTAGAGTAGTGAGATCACTGTTTATTTACTACACATCATGGTTATACTGACTAATATTATTGAATGTTATACAGCACTCAGTTTAAAGCAATATTAAACCCAAACCCAAAAATGTAATATATTGCAGCTTACCAATCATTAGATGTGGTGGCTGTTTTCTATTTTTAGGCATTTGGTTCCTCTGTTGTTCCCTGGTTATCTGGCCAGTAACACACCTGTATTACAGTGCTTCCACTCTGGATGAATGAGCACAGGGGGCAGATTTAGACAGTAGCTTTGTCAGCCTGGGGGGAGGAGAGTGTTAGATGTACTAGCAGATTTAAATACTGTAACAAGTTGAAGCTCAGCTTTAGCTAACATGATATCAGTTAAAATAAACAGTTCTTTCCTTTTGGGATAAAGGTTTTACATAAATAAAAGCTGACAATTGTAAGCACCTCTGTAAGTGATAAATGGTCTGTCTCATCCCTGTAACTGCAAGAGAGCTTACTGAGCTTACTACAACAGACTTACTGGCTGTATTACCTAAACAAGGAAATTAATATGACCACCACATCTAAAAAAATGGTAAGCTGCAATATAATACATATTTTCTTTCGGGTTTATTACCACTTTAATTTAAGTTAATTTTAATTTGCATATGTTTTCAATCTTCCAGGTTCAACTGCTGATCTCAGCCCAAGATGTTGATAATTACAAAGTTATCAAATCTGAGCTTGACAGACTGAGGACCATGGTAGAAAAATCTGAGCTCTGGGTGGACAAGAAAGAAAAATCAGGAAGTAATAGTTCACCAGATAGTAACAAAAAGGAGAAAAAAGAGGTGATACACTTTGAACTACTATAATCTCATTTACAATTTCCTCTTACAGAAGCCATATTTTTCTTTTAGGAAGGCACTCCTATCACAACGTGCTGTTCTTTGTCATGGTCACTGCTGCATCTATTAAAAATTACATGTTCGCAGTCTAGTAAGATACAGATTGTTTCTATGCTCTTCTGTGTTAGAGCAGGTCTGCTGTAAAATTGGATGTCTCAATTGTTCATCTTGGTTATTGTATGACTTTTGAAAATGCTGCAAAATATGTAAGCCTACAGATGAAAAGAATTATATTCTTTTAAGATGATTATGTAAGCAAGTTTTTAGTGTAGAGGATTTCAAGGCTCAGTCCACCTGTAAGTGCTGTTTGACTTATTTCTCCTGTAAATCCCCAAAATTTGTCTTTCATAGTTTCTCAGCTCCATTCCTGACCACCTTGAAGTTTCAGATGTTACCATGCAGTTGGGGATTTCCCAGTTTTTTTATTACATTATCTGTGTTATGAAATCATTTATAAATCCATCATAGAGTGGGATCCTTCATGCCTGACATCAGGTTAGCAGACCTAGGAATCTAGCAGATTTCAGCACTGGAGTCCCTAGGAAACCATTAGATGGTTTATCTCCCCAGAAAATGCCAAAAAAACACTGAAATATCAATAGGATCAACAAGATTGATGTGCTTTCTATTTAACAGCATGAAGGGGGTCAGGAGAGCGCTGGAAAACCAGCTACAGAGAAAAGCAGTGAGAATTATCAGCTTGTAAAGGAGGTAAGAGTTTGTCCATGTTTTGTCAAAGCTGTAGTGGCAGAGTTTCTTGACTGCTTAAAAAGATATACATCATATATTGTCTTGCTCCATACAAATCAATGGGAATCAATTTGAAAACCGTAAAGTACATGCATAGTAACACTTTTCACAGTCAGCTTAACCCAAATATGCAAATAATAGTTCAATCCAGTGTATTATAAGAAGGACATGCAAGTATGATAAATTATAAGTAGACACTGCTGATCCCTATAAAATATATTTTTTTTAATAATGTTCCATCCCATTAGATCTTGGAAAGATTGAATAAAATGTGTGGTGTTGGAGAGCAAGTCCGCAAGAAGCAACAAAGGTTATTAAAAAATATGGATGCCCACAAGGTTATGCTGGATCTCCTTCAAATACCATATGAAAAGGTATAATTATTATCTTATCATTGTAAACATGTTTTTTGCATGCAAATATTACTGTAATGTAATAACCAAATATGTAGCAGTTATATGCAATGATTAAAGTGACACTAAAGTCTTTTTTTTTTTAATAACAAATATGTCATACTTACCTGCTACATGCAGTGGTTTTGCACAGAGCAGCTCAGATCCTCCTCTTCGCGGGTCCCCCGCCAACTATCCTAGCACCACCCTCATGTCTGGTGCCCCCACAACAAGCAACTTGCTATGGGGCCACACGAGCATGCTTGTTCCTGAACCACAGTTCTGCATGTACATTCACACACACAGACCCAGGTCTCAGCCCCGCCCCCTCCCTCTCTTAATTGGCTCAGGTTAGTGTTAGTGGAGGGCTGCTACACACAGAAGGTTTTTTACCTTCATGCATAGAATTGAGCCTTTAGAACCACTTTAAAGCTGAGTTCCAGCCAGAACATTTTTCTTGTTTTGTATATGGAGAAGGATTAGAACACATGGCACTATTTAATTCTGCATTGGCTCATTTCCCACTATGTCCTGTGTTTTGACACCCATCATAGGGACAGAAAATAAAGAAAATTAGGGAATCAAATGTAGAAATAGCAGGTGCCAAACTGAAAAGTGATTCCAAGCATTTCTTTAATTATTTTTTAATTTTATTAAACTAAAACAGCCAACTTGTTTTGGGAGGCAACAAAACTCCCCCTTCATCAGGGGTAAGTACTAAAACTTTGTGCATTAGTACTGCTTGGACCTTAACCATTTGCCTACCGGGCACTTATACCCCTTTCCTTACCATGCCAATTTTCAGCTTTAAGCGCTGTCACACTTTGAATGGACAATTGCGCGGTCATGCAACATTTTACCCATATGAACTTTTTATCATTCTTTATTTTGGTGGTATTTACTTGCCGCTGGGGGTTTTATTTTTTGCGCTATAAACAAAAAAAGAGCAAAAAAAAAAAAAAAGTTTCTTTGTTTCTGTTATAAAATTTTGCAAACAGGCAATTTTTCTCCTTTACTGATGTGCGTTGATGAGGCTGCACTGATAGGCAGCACTGATGGGCACTGATAGGCAGCACTGAAGGGCACTGATAGGTGGCACTGATAGGCAGCACTAATGAGGTGGCACGGATAGGTGGCACTGATAGGTGGAACTGATAGGTGGCACTGATGATGTGTACTGATAGTCAGCACTGATAGGCGGCACTGCTGGGCACTGACTGGCAGCACTGCTGGGCTGCACTGATGGGCACAGGTGGGTGGCACTGATAGGCAGAGGTGGGTGGCACTGATGGGCAGAGTTGGGTGACACAGGTGGGTGGCACTAATGGGCACACAGGTGGGTGACACAGGTAGGTGGCACTGCTGGGCACAGGTGGGTGGCACTGCTGGGCACAGGTGGGTGCAACTGGTGGGTGGCACTGCTGGGCACGATCATCAGGGCACTGATCATCAGTGCCCTGATGATCGGTGCCGATCCCTGCTCTGACAACTGCCGGTTCTCGGCAGTACTTTCCCCACGTTCTGACAGCGTGAGGAAAGTGCAGCCGAGAACCGACAATTGCATTTCCCTGTGATCAGCGTGTCATTGGACACGGCTGATCAGGTGGTAAAAAGCCGCTGTGATTGGCCTTTTACCACATCACGTGATCAGCTGTGTCCGTAGGACATAGCGATCATGGAGATCGCCGGGTGCGCGCCCCCCGAGAACGCGTTCTGGGAGGACGCCAGCGGTGTTCTCACCACCACTGGTTTCACCATCCGTCTTCTCTCCCTGGCGCCGGCATCTTTAGTGTGGGCATGCAGCTGTGACAGCTTGCGGCTTCATAGCCGGGTGCCCACTGCGCATGCGTGAGAAGTGCTGCACTTTGTTAATGGCCTTGCAGTCTTCTGGGACCTGTCACGTGTCCCAGAAGACTACGGGGAGGGAGGGGGGGGGAGAAAAACTTCCACTCCTGATCACCTTGGCCATCGCAGCGGACGTGGGAGCTGGTAACTGTTAAATTAGGGTACCCGCTTCCACTCCCCAAAGGTGCCAATCCTTAATGGGGAGCAGGGGACAAAGGCTTGAAGCGGAGCTTCCCCTTTTGGCTGGAGCTCCGCTTTAGGTATTCACTCAGCAGCAGCCACCAAGTTTATTATTTCAAAAGGAATACATATTTTGGAGAAACCTGTAGTAAAAGCCTTGCTGTAAATGCATTATGTTGGCAGGGTGGGATTTTTTTTTTAAGAATTCTTTTGTGAAACCTACTTAACAGAGCATTAATCTGGCAATTCTGCTCCAGGTCTGGGCTTGACCATGCTTTTCACAGCTTATTACCTCTTTAATTTCTGTTGCTTTGCTTTGTAGTAGTGGTAGCTGGGCGTGATATTTATCGTCAGGGAACTTAAATCAATAATGTTTCAACAAAAATAAATGACTCAGACAGGCTTATTTACCTGAAGTGTATTGTAGTAAACCATTTGTTTCACCTGTAAAAATGTTTTCAAATGCATATAATTTTCAGTCTCCCACCAACTTTACCATCAGAATATAAGTATTGAAAGTTCACCTGAAAACAACAGATCTTGTATTGACAAAGCACTCCTTAATTGTCCATAGAAACTCATTTGTTGTCATAAGGTAAAAAATTGCTTTCTCTAATAAATCCCTTTGGGCTTTGGTTGTGTGGCTTGGCTACCCATTATAAATGAGGCATTTCCCCTACAAATTGAACATTGATTTCCTTTAAATGAGTAATCTCCAGCTAACACAGTAGCCATACTCCCTATGGTGAAGTGATCATGGCCTACTTATTGAGCAAAGGTAGCCATTTTTCATTACTGTGGGAGCAAAATGCCTTCACCTTTAAAATTATTTAAAACATACAGTATAATATAGCTATTGTGACAAGTAACGTCAACAGAATAAAAATATAATCACAGTACATATATTTAGGGCCACACATATTTGGACATAGGCACAATTTTAGTTTTTGAATGTATTTACCAAAACATATTCGAGCTATAGTTATATAATGGATATGGGCTGAAAGTGTACACTCTCAGGTTTAATTTGAGGGAATGTACATCCAAATTGGAGGAAGGGTTTAGGAATTACAACTCTTAAGAGCAGCCATCCCCCCCCTTTTTCAAGGGACCAAAAGTAAATGGACGATTGAATCAAAAGCTGTTTCATGGCCAGGTGTGGTCTACTCCTTCATTATTTCTTCATCAAGTAAGCAGGTAAAAGGTCTGGAGTTGATTTTAAGTGTGGTATTTACATTGTGAATCTATCAACCTACATCATGCGTTCAAAGGAGCTGTCCATGCATGTGAAACAGGCCATTGTCAGGCTTCAAAAATGAAACAAATCCATCAGAGAGCTAGCAGCAACATGAGGAGTGGCCAGATCAACAGTTTGGTACATTCTGAGGAAAGAAGAGGAAAGAAGAATGCACTGGTGAGCTCAGCAACATAAAAAGGCATGGATGTCCATAGAAGACAACAGTGGTGGATGATCGCAGGATCCTCTCTATGTTAAAGAAAAACTCATTCACAACATCCAGACAAGTGAAGGGCACTCTCCAGGAGGTGGGCATATCATTGTCAAAGTCTACAATCAAGAGAAGACCTCTTGAGAGCAAATACAGAGGTTTCACCACAAGGTGCAAACCATTCATAAGCCTGAAGAAAAGAAAAGCCAGATTATTATTATTATATATTATTATTATTATACAGTATTTATAAAGCGCCAATAGTTCGCTCAGCGCTGTACATTACAAAGGGGGACAGAACATGTGACAGAACAATAACAATACAATGCAAAACATGAGGGGATCGAGGGCCCTGCTCTTTCGAGCTTGCAATCTAGGAGGGAGGAGATGGTGGCACAGGAGGAGATAGCTGTGGGGGATGGAGTGGTAGGAAGAGTGGAGGAGGTAGGCAAGTTAGCATGGGGTGGGGTAGGCTTCCCTGAAGAGATGGGTTTTCAGGGTGTGCCTAAAGGAGAGGAGAGTAAGTGATAATCTGATGGGTTGGGGCAGGGAGTTCCAGAGGATGGGTGACACCCTGGAGAAGTCCTGGAGGCGGGCGCGGGAGGAGGAGACCAGGGAACTAGAGAGAAGGAGGTCTTGTGAGGAGCGGAGTGTGCGTGTTGGGTGGTACTTGGATATTAGGTCGGTGATGTAATTTGGGGCAGTATGGGTGGACGGCTTTGTACGTCAGTGGTAGGATTTTGAATTTGATCCGTTGCGCAATTGGAAGCCAGTGGAGGGATTGGCAGAGGGGGTGGCGGAGATGGAGCGGTTGGAAAGGTGAATGAGTCTGGCTGCCGTATTCAGGATCGACTGAAGCGGGGATACCCAGCGGCGAGGCAGGCCAGTAAGGAGGATTAGATTTAGTAAAAAAAAAACATCTAAAAAAAGCCAGACCAGTTCTGGAAAAGCATTCTTAAGGATGGCTGAAACTAAGATTAATCTGTACCAGAATGACAGGAAGAAAAAAGTGTGAAGGCTTGGAACAGCTCATTGTCCAAAGCACACAACGTCATCTGTAAAACATTGGGGAGGCAGTGTGATGGCATGGGCATGCATGGCTTCCTCTAGCACTGGGTCATTGGTGTTTATTGATGATGTGACAGAAGACAGAAGCAGCCGGATAAATTCTGCAGTTTAGAGATATACTGTCAGCCCAGATTCAGCCAAATGCAGCAAAGTTGATTGGACGGCGCTTCACAGTACAGATGGACAATGATCCAAAACACACTGCAAAAGCAACCCAGGAGCTTTTGAAGGAAAAGAAGTGTAATATTCTGCAATGGCCGAGTCAGTTACCTGATCTCAACCCAATTGAACATGCATTTCACTTGCTGAAGGCAAAACTAAAGGCAGAAAGACCCACAAAGTACAACTGAAGACAACTGCAGTTGCCTGGCAATGCATCAGAAAGGAGGAATCCCTCCTCCTAATGTCCATGGTTCCAGACTTCAGGCAGTCATTGCCAGTAAAGGATTCTCAACAAAATATTAAAAATGAAAATTTTATTTATGACTATATTCATTTGTCCAATTATATTTGACCCCCTGAAAATGGAGGGACTGTGTATAAAAATGGTTGCAGTTCCTAAAATTTGTGCTTGATATTTATGTTCAACCCCTTGAATTAAAGCTGAAAGTCTGCACTTCAGGATCATTTGTATTGTTCCCTTTTAATATATTCTGGTGGCATACAGACCAAAAGTATGAAAATTGTGCTTGTGTCCAAATATATATGGACCTAACTGTAGTACAAGGAATAAGGTAAATTACGAGCCAAAGATAATTTCATGCTGGATATTTTTTTTTGTGTCAGAAATACATTTTCTTTTGAAAAATCCATTAGTACCTATAAATTGCAGCTGTGTATAGGAAGTGAGGTCAGTCTTAGCATTTTAATGACCCCCATGCCGCAGTTGTTGTGTGCCCACCAGTCCACTGTCCTAGATAGGGCATATAAATCTATAGAAAGATTTGAAAATAATGTAGAATACCTGAAGATAAAGCCAGACTTGCATGGTGGACCATACAAACAGGAGCCTGGTTGGTGCCATGGAGAATTAAACTGGAAACACGAGATCTGTGCCTCCAAACAAGTGAATTACTCATCATCAGCATCCTACATCTTTTGGGTACACTACTCCATTGCCTTCCCAGAAGTTATGATCTCAGCATGATTTATTGCTTGAATATCCTTGAAGTGGTTGTAAAGGCTGAGAGTTTTTACCCTTCATGCATTTTATGCATGAAGGTAAAAAACTTTCAGAGTGCAGCCCCCCCCAATACTCGATCCAGCCCAATCTGGATCTAGTGAGGTGCACAAGAGGCTCTCCTGGGACTGTCAATCACAGCCAGTGAGGAGAGGGTGGTGGGCAGGACTGTGCCGGCGGCTTGGGAGCAAGCACGCAAAAGTGCCCCCAGAACAAGCAGCTTGCTCTGGGTGCGCTCAGCAGGGGGAAGGGGCCAGGAGGGCTGGGGGGTGGACCGGAGAAAAGGATGGGGTCATTCTATGCAAAACCATTACACAGAGCAGGTAAGTACGATGTGTGTATTATTTTACAGAAAGCATGTTCGAGCGTTCAGAACAACTTTAAGGTAAATTGAGGATATGGTAGGAGGAGTGCCCTCTGTTTATTAGAACCATTCAGGAGGTTGGGCTTAACCAGGAAAGAAAGACATATCAGACAATAGCAAGGAATGTGCACTGTCAGTTTCCAACCTAAAGTGCTATACCTGTATTAACCTTTTAGGCCGCATTCACACTCGAACTCTAGCTTTTCTAAAGGCCGGAGAAATTATGTGGGAAGTGTAAACAATATTTATGCTTCCCAGATCACTTTTTCAAGCGTTTAGATGTTTATGCTTTAAAGCAAGTTTTTTATAAGCATTTGAACACTTTTGAAAGAAAATGTAAATATTTCAGTGAGCTTAGTTTACTCTATAAAAAAATTATTTGCGCTTAGTGAAACAAGAACCAAAAAGAGTGCTGCTCTCAAAAAAGTCGAATAATAACTTTATAGTAATCTAAACATACACTTGGTGCGCATCTCTACATTTATAGCAATACGTTATATACTTATGAACCCTCTTAATCACTTGCCCTCCAGAGGATTTACCCCCCTTCCTGACCATGCCATGTTTTGCGTTACGGCGCTCCGTTACTTTAATTGACAATTGTGCGTTCATGCAACGCTGCACTTTTTTTTCCCCGCGAATAGAGCTTTCTTTCAGTGTTATTTGATTGGCTGTGCTTTTTTTATTTTTGCGCTATAATAAAAAAAAAACAGCAATTTTGAGAAAAAAACAATATAAAAAAATTTTAAAAATCAAATTTCGTCATAAATTTAGGGAAAAATGTATTTTGCTACAAAAAATCCCAATACATGTAAATTAATTGGTTTACGTGAAAGTTATAGTGTTTACAAATGGCAGTATATATACTGGAATTTCTTTTTTTTTTTTACTAGTATTGGCATCGATCAGCGACTTATTGCGGGACAGTGGCGGGCATTCTGACACTGGGGGAGTGACTTGGTGTCACTGACATCCCCAGTGACACCAATACAGTGATCAGTGCTAATAAAAAGCACTGACAGTGTACTAATGGCACTGGGCAGAAAGGGGTTAACATGAGGGGCGATCAAAGGATTAACTGTGTGCTGTGTGCCCTTTGGTGTTTGTGCTTCACTGTAAGCACACTGCTTTGCATGGCTGTGCTATGCACAAAAGCAGTGTGCAGGAGCTGCCAGGGGAGAGGACTGTTTTGGTTACAAACAGTTCTTCCCCCACCCCCCATCGGAGATGCTCGGCAATCACTGGGCGCCAGGGAATAATCACCGACCGGGACCCGGTGAAAAACAGCCGAGGCCTCGAATGGCAGCGCGGGTATATATATATATACACGTGATTTTGCACACCCGTGCTGCCATGTAGTACTTCTGCTATAGGGTGGATGGAAAGCGCTTAAAAAAACACCAGTGCTCTTGGCAGGAAAAACTGTTATTTAGTACTAGTGTTTAGGAGCGTTTAACGTTTTTTTCTGCCAGAAAAATGCTCTCAAAAACGCAAAACGGAAGAGTTTTTTTTCTGCCTCTAAATGCAGAGCTTAAAAAATGCCTCTAAACTACCTAATGTGCATGGACACATAAGATAACATTCATTGCTTTTACAGGCAAAATGCTAAACTCCTCTAGGAGCAGTGTTTTTTTAAGCCAGTGTGCATGGAGCCTAAATGTGACTGAACTGAATGCACCAAAACACAGGTTTATAGCTATCAATCATTGTAAATGACACCATTGAAAAAACATTGCATACATTTACTGTATATGCATTTAGAAATGTCCTCTAAATGCGTATAAACGCAGGTTTGACATTGCCAGTGTGGATGAAGCCTTAGAATATCAGTCTGCTTACTCCAGTGCCATTATTACTGTAGAATTAATCTAAAGTGACTTCTGTAATCATATGTAAACCAAACATGAAGATTGATAGCTATAAAGATTGTAATCAAAATAAAAATCTGTGATTATCAACATGTCTTGTGCAAACATCATTTAATTAAAAAGAGCTTTATCATTATCTCTTTTGTTCTGATTTGCACCAGCCACTATGTGTTTGAATAATTTGTGTACTTATATTGCATTCCCTGGTTTCTACCTCCCCCTTTTTAACATGTTTAGTTATTTCTGTTTTCATCACATACCTTATTTAGATCCAGTGCTGTCATCACTAAGCCTTTGTGCTTCTCTATGCAAAACAGTCAGTTCATGGCTGATGGGAGGGGCTGGCAGGGTGCTGTTCATAGCTTTCTTTAACCACTTGCCTACCAGGCACTTATACCCCCTTATTTACCAGGCCAATTTTCAGCTTTCAGCGCTGCCGCACTTTGATTGACAATTGCGCGATTATGCAACATTGTACCCATATGAAATTTTGATCATTTTTTTCTCACAAATAGAGCTTTCTTTTGGTGGTATTTAATCGCCACTGGGCGCTTTACTTTTTGCGCTATAAATAAAAAAAGTGCAAACAATTTGAAAAAAAAAAAAGTTTCTTTGTTTTTTTTATAAAATTTTTCAAACAGGTATTTTTTCTCCTTCACTGATGTGCGTTGATGAGGCAGCACTGATGGGCACTGATAGGCGGCACTGATGGGCACTGATAGGCAGCACTAAAGGGCACTGATAGGCAGTACTAATGAGGTGGCACGGATAGGCGGCACTGATAGACAGCACTAATGAGGTGTCATGGATAGGCGGCACTAATATGCAGCACTGATAGGCGGCACTGATAGGTGACACTGATTATGGGTACTGATAGACGGCACTGACTGGCATCACTGCTGGGCACTGACTGGCGGCACTGACTAGCACAACCCCTGGGCACTGACTGGTGGCACTGACTGGCAGCACTGCTGGGCTGCACTGGTGGGTGGCACTGGTGGGCAGCACTGGTGGGTGGGTGGGCACACTGGTGGGCACAGGTGGGTGGGCACAGGTGGGTGGCACTGCTGGGCACAGGTAGGTGGCACTTCTGGGCACAGATGTGTGACACTGCAGAGTGGCACAGGTGGGTGCACTGCTGGGCACAGGTGGGTGATCTGCTGGGCACAGGTGGGCGGAGCTAGTGGGCGCACTGCTGGGCACAGGTGGGCGGAACTTGCGGGCGGCACTGCTGGGCACCGATCATCAGGGCACTGATCATCAGTGCCCTGATGATCGGTGCCGATCCCCGCTCTGACAACTGCCGGTTCTCGGCAGTACTTTCCTCACGATCTGACAGCGTGAGGAAAGTGCAGCCGAGAACTGGCACTTGCATTTCCCTCTGATCATTGGACACCGCTGATCACGTGGTAAAAGGCCGCTGTGATTGGCCTTTTACCACATCACGTGATCAGCTGTGTCTGTAGGACACAGCGATCACGGAGATCGCCGGGTGCGCGCCCCCTGGGGCGCGCAGGAGAGCGCGTTCTGGGAGGACGTCATATGACGTCCACTCAGAACTGGCTGGCTGCAGTGCAGCCGTCATTCGGCTATCTGCGGTCGGCAGCTAGTTAACAAAGTTAATAATGCTTCAGCACTCCTCTCAAAAACCCTTTGTCCTAATGCAAGCTCTTGAGAGTAGTGCTGAGGCAGACAAAGATCAAAATGCCTTGATGGGTGGATGTCAGTATTGAAGCATACTGAAATTATATGCAGATGACCTTAAGTAACACCCATACATACAGTAAGTCTCCATAATTGAAAGAAGTTAAATTCTATCAGTGAAAGGGGTGAGCCAGGGACAATCAGACTTGGGAGGGTTAGATGGTGCTGATTTTCCTCCAGCCAGTAAATGACACATGTTCTATCTTATTTCAGCTTCTAGTACACACTATGAGAAGCTCCCAATATGCAGCAAAATCAAATTAAGCAATTTAGTACAGGAGAGGAGCCTGTACACAGCTATGCAAGAAGGTAAAGCCTGCCATTAACGGTTCAAATCTGAGCCAGTTCAGCAGACACCAGCTGAGATTCGAACCATGTATGGGCAGGCCAAACATTCCTAAGTTGATTGATCAATCAATTTAGGTGCAGCCAGCCTGTTGGGTTTTACATGCAATCATTTCTAGTGGTGGCGGCGGTGACAGGTGGAGGCCTGGTTGGTATTCGCTCCATAAGACGCACAGACATTTTCCCCCATATTTGGAGCGAAAAATACGGTACATGGGTGTCCGCTTTTCATCTGTAAAGGGACAGATGAAAAAATGGGCATACGAAACGCCCAGGTGAAAGGACCTTTAAAGTTTATTTGGACAAACTGAAGTTAGAAGCTGATTGGCTACCATGCACAGGTGCATGAGATTCTGAGTGCTCACATTTTAGCTTCCTTTTACTTATCTGCATTTCCTTTTATGATTTTTATTGTAAAATTATAAACACATTTTTCTGATTGTGTAGCAATCCTAGCAAACCTAGTTTTTATTTATATTTTCAATGCTACGTATTGTAGATGCATACCTATACTATATTGCCAAAAGTATTAGGGCACCTGCCTTTATACGCACATGAACGTTAATGGCATCCCAGTCTTAATATGCAGGGTTCAATATTGTGTTGGCCCACCCTTTGCAGCTATAACAGCTTCGACTCTTCTGGGAAGGCTGTTCACAAGGTTTAGGAGTGTGTCTATAGAAATGTTTGACCATTCTTCTAGAAGCACATTTGTGAGGTCAGGCACTGATGTCGGACGAGAAGGCCTGGCTCACAGTCTCTGCTCTAATTCATCCCAAAGGTGTTCTATCGGGTTGAGATCAGGACTCTGTGCAGGCCAGTTAAGTTCCTTCACAACAAAAATAAATCATCCATGTCTTTATGGACTTTGCTTTGTGCACTAGTGCGCAGTCATGTTGGAACAGGAATTGGCCATCCCCAAAACTGTTCCCACACAAAATTGGGAGCATGAAATTGTCCAAAATGTCTTGGTTTGCTGATTCCTTAAGAGTTCCCTTCCAGACAGTTGTGGTGACCTCTGCACATTCTGCGCCAAACCCTCTCTGTCATTGTACATGGCCTACCACTTTGTGGCTGAGTTGCTTGTTGTTCTCAGTTGCTTCCATTTTGTTATAATACCACTAACAGTTGACTATGAAATATTTAGTAGCAAGGAAATTTCCACAGATGGACTTATTGTACATGTGACAACTAGAGATGAGCGAATTATTATAAAAATTTGATTCGGCTGATTCGGCGTATTTGCGGAATAAATTCGATTTGAGTCGAATATATTCGCTGCGAATTTAACTTATAAAAAGGGTGTTTCTAGGCTTCAGAGAGCCTTTGATATTAGTGCAGAACACTGTAACCTTTAATTTAATGCTCCCCTTGGAGTCTGCTGGGGAGAGAAATAATACTGTCAGTGTCAGTATGACATGCAGATGAGTGCCGTCGATCTTAGAATCACCGCACACTTCACTATTTGGGCAGTCAACGGGGCCAAAACCAGAGTGTGGAGCCACAGTGCTGGCGGTGGAGGCTAGCAGCCAATGGTGGGAGGCCATACAGCACCCTATGACAAAATGGAACCCACCAGCAGTGTGAGGAGACCTGAAGTGGCACATGGCAGAGTGTGGCGATGGAGATAGCAGCAATGGGAGGCCGTACAGGGACCCATGACACACTCTGGACTTGGCAGCAGCATGAGGAGGCGGTACAGGGGCCCATGACAGATTACGGGCCTGGCAGCAGCATTGTGGAGTCGGTACGGGGGACCATGGCAGATATACGGGTCCTGGCAGCAGCAATGGGAGGCCCGTAATCTGCCAAGCACCCTATGACTAAATGGAACCCTGGACCAGCAGTGTGACGGGAGACCTGAAAGTGGCACATGGCAGAGTGTGGCGATGGAGACAGCAGCTAATGGGAGGCCGTACAGGGACCATGACACACTCTGGAGCCTGGGCAGCAGACGTGAGTGGAGGCGGTGTGACAGGGGCCCATGACAGATTACGGGCCTGGCAGCAGCATTGAGGAGTCGGTACGGGGGCCCATGGCAGATTACGGGCCTGGCAGCAGCAATGGAGGCCCGTAATCTGCCAGCACCCTATGACAAATGGAACCCCACCAGCAGTGTGAGGAGACCTGAAAGTGGCACATGGCAGAGTGTGGCGATGGAGACAGCAGCAAGGGCTGGATGAGGCCGTACAGGGACCCATGACACACTCTGGACCTGGCAGCAGCATGAGGAAGGCGGTACAGTGGGCCCATGACAGATTACGGGCCTGGCAGCAGCATGAGGAGTCGGTACGGGGGCCCATTGGCAGATTACGGGCCTGGCAGCAGCAATGGGAGGCCCGTAATCTGCCAGCACCCTATGACTAAATGGAGACCCACAGCAGTGTGAGGGAGACCTGAAAGTGGCACATGGCAGAGTGTGGCGATGGAGACAGCAAGCATAAATGGGAGGCCGGCCGTACAGGGACCCATGACACACTCTGGACCTGGCAGCAGCATGAGGAGGCGGTACAGGGGCCATGACAGATTACGGGACCCTGGCAGCAGCATGAGGAGTCGGTACGGGGGCCCATGGCAGATTACGGGACACCTAGGCAGCAGCAATGGGAGGCCCTTAATCTGCCAGCACCACTATGACATAAAATGGAACCCACCAGCAGTGTGAGGAGACCTGGATGAAAGTGGCACATGGCAGAGTGTGGCGATGGAGACAGCAGCAATGGGAGGCCGTACAAAGAGGGACCCATTGACACACTCCTGGACCTGCAGCAGCTAAGAGGGGGCGGTACAGGGGGCCATGGCAGAGTGGCGAAGCGTAAGCAGCTCTTAAATTTACAGAGAGGCCTATGTTAAAAAATAATAACATGTTTGGGGCATGATTCATGGCGGATTTAGTTCAGTTGTGTCAGGAACTGGTGGATTTGAAATCCAGACTAATCCACGCACTGATTCATTTTTCACAAAACGTGAGTCTCTCCACACTTTGGGTGGACAGTCGTGTCCTCCGCGGAGTTACAATACCTCCTGCCCGCACTAAACACGACAGCGCTCCGATGCCACAGTTACTGGCCAAGCATGGATCAGCCTTTCAAGGGCAAATTCAGTATATGTAGTTACTTGGGGCCAAAGGTCAAGTTTCGATTGCCCAGTAGTCAAGGGGATTGTTCTCTACCTCGGTTGGCAGGGTGCTGTCCAAGTAGGGCCCAAGCCTGTTGTTTGAGGGTCCTGCTCCAGGTCACCTGATGCTGCTGACTGCTGCGGTGGTTAGTAGTTTCGCACTCACTGCGCTGGTGAAGAAATGCTACTCATCATCGACTGCAGACTGATGGCAGCCGCTGCTGGTGGAGAATGCCACTGCTCCTACCACCCCACCCCTCTCCCTGCTGCCATAGGCAGCGGAACGCGAGCGCACAGGGCCCACAGTGTCTGAGGATGGACGTTGGGCAGAAAGGGCTCGAAAATGAGACCAACTGACTACATAGGTGGTTTTTTATAGTTCGTTATTTTGTGGCCTCCCTCTCAGCAGGTGTGAAAAAGGCCCACCATTTGTTGAACGGTAGCGAGGGTTATCCAACAAGTGAGGACAGCCAAAAGTCATCCCTCTGTCTGATGGTTATTATTCGGCTGTCGCCTACGCAGCTGAAACCGAGCATGCTATGGGCCATTTGTGCCAAGGAATGCGAGGGAACTCCCTGCCTCCATCTCCACAGCATACTGCCACGGTGCGTCTGGGTCCTCTGTCTCCTCCTCCTCCTCTACAAGATGCTCCTGCTCCTCCACTCCTGTCCGCTGAGTGGAAAAACCACACCCATTTCACTCAATAATTCCTGAGCACCAATGTCCTCCTCTACCTCGTCTCCTCTTCTGATCCTGTCCTGCTCCCACAGGGGTCATGTGGCGTTGAGATCTGTGCGCCACGTCTACGGCCACCCTGACCAGCATTGTTAACAGCCATTTGTTCCAGGACGTGCAACAGAGGAATGACGTGTGTGTTCATCCCATAGTCCCTGCACGACTCACGAATAGCGTGGCCTCATTCAAAGGGCCTGAGCAAGCGGCAGGTGTCACGCATGAGCTTGCCAATGGCTGACATCTAAGTTACCACAGGGGAGTACCTTTATCCGCTTGTAACATCAGGAAAATCGGTGATTGGCCTTTGCTGTTCGTAAAGGCGGTCTAACATGTGTAGGGTTGAAATTCCACCTTGTTGCAACGTCACAGATCAGGCGATGCTGTGGAATTCCGTTCTGCCGCTTGCAGCTCAAGGCAGGGTGTGCTTTGCGGTGTAGGAATGGCTGAAATGCATGCAAAGTTTACGTGACATTTTAAGGATGTCTTGCAGTGGGATGGTGGATTTTAGGAACCGCTTGATAACCATGGCGCATGGCACAACCTTCCTTTGACGCAGAG